TATATATATATATGTATATATGCAGGGCACAATTCTTTAAGGATCAGAAGACAGTATAAATTTTTGTAGCTCCATGGCTGTTCTGGGTAATACCAGCTTTCCGATATTTTTCCTGATATCAGTACTTTAATGACGGGATGACTTGTTAAGGTGAAGATGTCTAACTTCAGAAGAATCAAAAGCAATTAATGTCTTGGCAAGTGAGTTAAGAGACTGATTCAAGGTACCTCCTAGTTGGCAGTATATAGAGAAGGTTTATTAGCCTAAAGGTGCATCATGTATAGTAGGAAAAATGAGGCAATGCAGAGTTCAGCAAAAGCGTTATAGAAATTTTTGACTAGTGCATAGTCTCATCATAAAATTGATAGTAAAGTGGACTTTTTCTGAACAGTGTGACTTGTACGCCCCCAGAGCCTGGGACTGTGACTTATAGCACAAGCTCACTCACCTCATTGTCCTGATGATTAATTTCACTAACATTTGACTGCTGCAGAAGCACATTCAGAAGCCTGCGGAAGCAATGACATAATCAGTGTGCTGTACGCCTGACTAAACCTGAAAATTTGAAATTTTTTGAGAAACAAAACATGCAATTTCAAGAAAAATCAGTATTAGTGATGGGCACAAGTCAGAATCTTAGGTCTGAGCTTTGTCATACTAGAAGAGCAAATAGGACTTTATGGCTTACTGTAACAACAGAAGTTTAGTGCTGGAGTTAAAATCAGATTCACTAGGAAGAATTCTTGTGCTGATTGCCAGGCTAGAGTCAGAGTGTGTAATACTATACGTGTGCAGTTTTTGGTAGCTTAGCAATTCATTGTCATCCTATTTTATAAAGTTTTAAACAAGCAAAAATGCAAATGACCAGTTTCTGAAAAGATTTTTCTCTCTCCTTAAGTCTTGGAGTAGTGTGAAGTTGTGTACATGTTTGTGTGTGTATGTGTATGCCTGCATACTGTATATTTACACACACACAAACCAATAGTATTTTACAAGGCTTTACAGTGTGTCTGCTGGGATAGGGTCATTGTTGTGTAATAAAATATAGCAATGCATTGGTTCACATCTTATAGAATATCAGATTACAAACACTCCCCTCTGGTGGAGGGAAGAGTTACGATAAAATAGTTACATGAAATACTATTCAAGTGCAATAATATTTTCAACACTGCATGGATTTTGCTTTTCTTTTCCTTTTGGTATCCTGTGAAGATGTTCTGAAACCACTATAGGTTTGGTGAAGATGGTTGTGTTTTATAATAGAATGCTAGAGTGTTTGGATGATGTACATAGGTGGACCATGTACATGGTCCATGAAATGAAAAGGACCATCCTGTCACAGGCTGTAACAAAGCCAAATAGCATAGATCCTAACATGGATGTACAGTTCTTATGATTCCAGCCAAAGGAAAGATATATCCTTAGTGGATCCCTAGATAAGATCATAATGCAAATCTATGGCTCATCTGAAGGTGTGAATTTGCTAGAAACCTTCAAAACATGGACATTTAAAAGATGTGCTGTTTTGCAAGGAAATTAAAAGATGATGAATCTGACACATAGTTCTGTAGTTTAACCCCAGATATAATCAATGAAACCAGTGTATGTGAAGGAAATCTCATTCTTTGAGTGTAAACCCTCTATCAACAACAAATTTGGCTCACTTATATCCTTAGACCGTTATTACAACATAAGTGCTACCACTGCAATATGTAGATATTCAGCCATGCAGCTGAGATTGCTGTGAAATCTACTCTTAAAGGCATAGATCAGGAAGTCCATAGATTCTCTTTCCACCTTTCCTCTTAGACTCTGTGGAATGCACTGAAGCACATAAATCAATTATCAAATTAATACATAAATTGGCTGATCACTGTCTCTGTCTTTTCAAGTGGTCCATGTCCTGCCTTCAGCACATGGGGTTGTAGCAGTGGGCTACCAGCTTTCAAACTTGGCTGAAAAAGCATTTCATAGCTGGCCACTGCATATACCCTTTTGGCAATGACAAGGTATTCAAGAGAGTGACAATGACAGTAATGGAAAAGCCTCCCTTTCAGTGCTCCATGCATGTTTTCTGGGCATGGGGCAAACTGAGTGAGAAGACAGAGGAAAAGGAATTGAACAGCTGGTAAACTCCTGTGCAGAGCAAGGGTCTGCTTGTATGCATGGAGAATGTGAAAAACATTCAGGGAACCCTGGGTACTGCTGGTAAAGTAGATTACTGTTCCCTTTCAAGTAGCAGCATGTGCAGTATTGTATAAACATTGTCTTCTTTCTGTGGAGGCTTTGTTTAATCATAGTGACCCATACTTTTGCAGAAACCTCAAACTATTCTTTCCAAGTGATGCATGAAAAGCAATGATAACGTGGAAAATGAATAAAGCTGTTAAAAAAGGCTGGAGAGCAAGATCAGCAGAAAAGCACAGAGGTATGGGCTAGTCTGATATGGTGACAGCAGCAAAACCGTAGACTCAGTGATTAAGTCACAGGAACATTTTGCATGTAGTGAATGTTTTACCTGTCCCTAATGTCTTCCTATCCCTCCAGACATGATTTACTTAGGACAGTTTTCTGAGTTAATGGTGGCCTGGATGATCTTAAAGGTCTTTTCTAACCTAAATGATTCTATGATTCAAATGTACAAATCAAAATTTGTTAAACCTTCCTATTTTCACAGGCTGGAAAGAGACAAAGAGGATCTTTCTTGAAAGACTTCTTGTGAAGACACTCTGTAGTTGTTATTCCACCTTCAGTAAAAGTAGTTAAAAATGAGCCAGTCCACCAAACCTCAGCTTCCCCTTTACACTAGGGGCTCTCAGAGAGATTTTCATGTGGAAAACTTCTCTCATATTTGCCATGCTACTTGGAGGAGAAGTCTAGAGAAGGAGCTTCTTGTAACATTTCTTATGCGGAGGTGGCGGAAAGGTAATTGGTCAGGAGAAACCCAGGGTTTCAACCTCTATTATAACTTTTTTTCTCCTCTCCTGCTGTTGTGGTCTTAAACCAGGCTCCTCACAGGCTCCTCACCTTACTTGGCCATATATCTCTGTTAGATAAGTGTTATACAATGCTTTTCCTCCTCTCTACCCCCTTTATGATAGCCATAAACCAAAGGAGCGAGTCAGAGGTGTAACTGTCACCGTCAGCCTTCCTGACTCAGGCTCCCCTTTGGGCTGGGTAGCTTGTGTTGCTGACTGCCTGTTGAGATGCAACCAGCAAAAGTTGTTGGAGCCTGGGACATACCTCACGTCAGGCTCTGCGGTAGCAGCGTGTAGTGGCAACCTCCCGTTTTTGTCGGGTATGTTCTGCTTAGCACCATTTCTGAGCAGGCTGACACAGCCTTCCAGCCAGCCCTAAAAAAGAAATTAGAGCATGTCAAAGAGGAAAGTGAAATGCATCAGGCCAGATCTTTGCTTGGTGTTTCTGGCATCTGTGCGTGACTAGCTGTTTCTGCCAGCAGAGGAACTGGTCTTTTGTTTCCCCAATAGAGGTCTGTCAGTGCTGAGAGTGGTTCCCTTCTGGAGTCTGAGTCTCAGACTAGCTCAGTTATTCATTTCTGTGATAAGGTGTTTTCTTTACACTGCATTTTGGGTTTTCTGCAGCTGTGGCAAGTGCTGACTGAGTAAACAGTGATTAAAAACCTGCTAATTCCCGTATTGGTAGCAAATGCTACACATATTCCTGCATGTGGATTTAATTATGGTAGGTTAAACCAAGAACATGAGCACTTAATCTCATTTCCTTTATGAGATTTTAGCAGGGATGGCAAAGCAATAGTAAAAAGCCTTAGAGTGTGGTCTTATAAACATTGTTGCAGAAGTTTGAATTAGTGACAATGTTAGACTGAAAACAGCACTAAAACAGATGGGATGAATCAGGTCTTGGACTAAAACCTTCTATTGATTACCTCAACAAAAAAGCAAGTAAACAATCTGGCTGTGACTGCATAAATCTCCCAGTGTGTACTTAAGTCCGAGGGAAATCAAGCATGTGTTTAAGTATTTTGTTCAAACCTCTGCAGGCAATTGATAAAGACTGTTCCCTCCTGTATGAGCTACGTTTGGTTAGAATTACCAGCATTTACAGGGAAAAGGAGTGGAATGATGGAATCAGAACATCGCTGCTGCAGCTCCCAGTGGAAGTACAAGACCACCAAACTCTGCATGTGATTGTGATTGTGGAGCTCTGCTGAATTCAGTTCTCTGGACAGACATCACAGCCAAATCCTCTCTAGACCTCCGATTAAATCCATCACAGAAACAGAAATGGAAACTTCGAAGCCTGGGTGGTTTAAATCTTTTCCAGTCATTTCTTTTTTTCCAAAGAATATTTTTTGCCCTCTGGGAAAAGAGGAAGGAAAAAAGGAGCATGACACTAATTATGGGATTTTTTAAAAATATCTGGCAGAGGAAATCTTTATTCTCAAGTAAGTAGGGCATGCTCCTTGCACTGAATGAGATTGTTTTGCTGTTTTCTACACTTATTTTCTGGCTGAATATTGCATAGCTGAGCAGAAGCATTGTTTTTGTCCTGAATTTGCAGGAAGAAACTAGATGCAAGGGATGTGATTTTATTAGGTTTCCATGGTATCTGTATAAATGAGCTAGTGGTCATCCAGCCATATCTCATACTATGGAGCATGGGTGAACATTCCTTCCTCCTTTCTGTCCAACTAATAACAGAAGCCCATGGTCAACCCCTCTGACCAACTAACTTGGTCCCCATACTCCCTCTGAATCCTGAATTCTCCTGCAGCAAGGAGTAAAAGACTAAGGAGAAGAGGACCGTCCTTGTGTACTTCAGACAGAAAGCACCACATCTCCCTTCCCAATCTTCTCAATAGGATGTCTGCCCCTACTATTACTTGCATGTCAGTTGATTGGGGGATTGGATTGCTTATGACCTGAGTATCTGCGCTGGCACCTGCAGCACCTTGAACTTAAGTTCTTAACCTGGCCATCCAAGGTACAACACTACAGTGAAAAAAACCAATTCCCTGGCTCATGTGGTGTACAGGAAAACATGCCTGCTGACAACCAGAATTTGAGATAGGAGAGCCCTCTCTGGAGCATAAAAATCTGATCCTGACAGTGGAAGGGGAGAAGTTAATCTGCATATTAAAAACAAGAGGGACATTCCAGTGCACAGAAAAAAGTGGCTTTCTTGAAACCACACAGAGGACCCTGGATCTAGTGAGATCCCTATACCATACACTGATTTTACAACCTGAAAGAGAAGGGACACTCTGACAGGAGTCCTGATCCTTTCCTGATAATCATTGCTTCCAGCTTTACATTATAGTAAAGTTTACAATTTCACTGTTGTCTAGAACCAAATGTTTTGTGTTTTTTTTCTTTCTGTAGTATAAACAGAAATTTTATTTGGTCTGTACATTTAGTCCCTTCATCTTTCTTTCCATCCTTCTCCCCCAAGTCTTGGTACCAGATAAGTTGCCAGAGATAAACTGGTACGTCCACAAGCATCTTGAGTATTAATATTGGCTCCCATCTTCAGCAGAAGCTTCACTGTATCAACCTGGCGTCCTGACACAGCATGCATCAAAGGTGTGCAACCTGGGGAAGAAAGTCAAATGTTCTTTTACAATTTTTGTCAATGCCATAAGATAGAGATATTTTCTTATTTGCTAATGTTAGCACTGGCAAATTAACAAAACCTTTCTCTGACAACTGTCCAACAGTTGTACGCAGCTTTTTGCAGGCAGGAAATAACTGCTATGCCAGTTACTGACCACTGATTTTAAAAAGAACATGACTTTATTAGCAAAAGCCTTGCCTCATTAACTCTGCTTCTGGAGAGAAAAGTGTTTTTCTGTTGACAAGCTCCCAATATTAACTGTTGGCTTTGCACACCATTTTGGAGGCTGATATTCTTCAGAGTGACTAGTAGCCAGATGGTGCTTGGCTAATTTTCTCAAACCCCAGCTTCATTCTGTCTCTCTGTATTCAAAAGATTTGTGAAATCAAGCCCTGTCCCATGCAAAGGTGTATGTGTGTGAGTTGATGCTTTATGTAGACAACAACTTATTTTAAAGACTGGATTTGCTCTAGAATATTTTCTTTTCTGTTGTCATGAGAATGTATTTTATATTCTGCAAACAATTCTGTGCTGAAAAAAAAAATGGAATCTACATTCAAACCTAATACTCAAATTTCATCATGAAGCATTATGATACCTTTTAATTGCTTCCTCTTCCTTCCATTCTGTTAACTGCTGAATAACAGCAAGAGATTTTCCTGCAGAATCTGATAAAGCAATTTAAAATGACTAAGCTGGGAATAAACATGGATATTGACTGCTAGAAACTTCAGACACAACTGAAGAATAATTATTCTTACTGGATTCAGTGAGACTGCTGAGCAAATGCGTGCTACTCAACCTGAGATTATGCAGACTCTGCCATATGTGTGAGATATGAGCAATATGTTTTGCCTTGCAAGACTGGTCTTTAGTTACATTTGCATGTACAACCTAGTAAACAAGTTTATTCCAAACCTGAAAAACTTCCATTTGCTGATCAGTCTATCTCCACCCACTGCCCTTCATACCTAGTCCCTCTCCCGTTAAAGATCTGGACTAAGAGCATTTTGGCTTGATTAAGTATTTTCGCTACTGACCAATAGATATTTTAAAGATAACAGTTGGGATGTCTGGTTTTAAGTGTAGGAGAAATAGGTAATTTGGTAAAAGCTGGTAAAAATTAGAATAGACAGTGTTCATATAGACCCTTTAAAAGAAACTGCAATAAAAAAATACTTTTGAATAAACAAAGTCTTCCTTGAGAGAAGCTTCCAGAGATCTGTGGCTCTAATTCACTTGGGAAATAGGTGTGTATAAAACCCAGCCAATGGACAGCACTTTGTAATAACATTAAATAGTAACCTGAACAAAAAATGAAAAGGAGCATGGTCTCACAGATGAAGCAGATTATTTAGATCATTGCACATTGTACAGCCAACCCTTTGGCAAACAATTACACAACAAAATTATTCAAACTGTTTCTGTACACGTACTTTTTAAGTGCAAAAGTCTGGAACCCTCTACTCTATAGAGATGTGCAGAATGTATAGCATTTGGCTTTGATAAAAAATATTCTTTTTCCTTCCCTGAAATGACAACAATTTCTCAGCATCTCCCTAAAGAAGACAAAATAGAGTAATGATAAAGTACTGTCTGATTATAGCAAAACAACTTATTTGTATCCATATAAAAAATCATATAATGATAGGGGGAAAGAAAATTTAAGCTTAGAAAACTGAGCATTTCCAGTGGATGTTCGAAAGAATAACTCAAATTTCCCATATTCTGCTACTAAATATAATTTGCTGAACACAAAAATCAGGATAAAAAATGGAAAACTTAATTGCAAGCTGAAGCAACTGATCCCCTGAGAAAAAGCTCAGCCTTCATTTACCGTCGCTGTCGCAGCACTCCAGGATGGAAGGATCTTCTCGAATCACTGCAGTTAGTGTGTTCACATCACCATTAGCTGCTGCTTGATAAACCACAGTCAAGTCAATCTCTTCTGCTGCATCACCTGCAGGGGAGGAGTAGTCCGTGAGTAAGCGGAGAGCAAGTACAAATGATTAACAGTGAAAATAACGACACTTATTTCACTGAGTTTCTATGACTATGTAACTCAAGGTGGAACAAAGTGTTTCTAAACAGCACTGTGGTTTTTGTTAGTCACCTGAAACTTGTTTTTCATCGTAAATTCTTCCAAAAACTGTCAGACGTAGACACTGAGAGGACATAAGAAAACTTCTGGAAAGTTTCCACCTCTTATAAGAAATCATACTAACATTAAGGTACCATGACTTGAGGAACAATGAAGTAATAACTGAACTAGCTCATAATATTGCTGGCTACACTTTTATGAGATAGGATGAAATCAGGACACAGGTGTTTTCAGTTTCAGTGTTATCCTTGTACCAGTCAGAAGACTGAGGCTTTTCACTTCCTTTCCTTGCAGCATCCAGGGGAATTCTCTTCTTAGGAGAGTGAACTTCTGGCAGCAATGGTTTGCGTTAACAGTTCCTCCAAAAAGGAAAGGTGGACTATTGCTTGGAACCCAGGAGCAGTTTATTTTGTTTGGCAGTTACAGTATGAAGTATTACTTAAAGCAGATGCCTTGTAGGACCTGTTCCTGAAAAATCCTCAGATTTTTGTTTCTAGAGAAATTAATGCGATGATTCTTTCTTGGCTTCTTTGCTTGTAACTTCCTTCCGGACTTGTCATCCCATGCTCCACATGCCTACACCTCCTTTGGCTTCAAGTGGACTATTGACCTGTTAACTCCAGGAGTCAGTTGATTTTTTGGTGCAAGGTCAAATCTGATTGTAAAATGCTCTAGATATGTATTGTTAGTCAGCCACAGTCTCATGTTTAATTTTAAAAAGAGTTTCTGATCTCTATTAACTCAAAAAGAAGTACCACTGCAGTGAGCTGTGTTGCTCACTGTGGCTGAGGGTCAGAGCTACAGAGCATAACATTTATCTAACCACTGCACTACCTTGTTAGCCAGAGAAAGTAAAACTGATACCTAAATCACACTGGGGAGTTGATCAAAGGAAAGGCAGATTAAGTTACTGGTGATTTATACTTACTGTTGTGCCTTCTGGAAATAGCATAACTATTTAAGCTGTGCAGAAAAAAGGGAGATGGTTTAAATAGAATTTGAAAAGTTAGTAAAAAGTCTTTTTCATAATCAAGTAATACATTATTATTAACACATTGATATAAATTATATTTTAAACATTAACATATATTTTTTTAAGACCTTTGAAGATAATTTTAAAGTATCAGCCACACTAGTCATGTTGTCATCTGATGTTGTTGCAGCTGAACCCGCATGAGCTCCATGCTGGGGTTTACAGCCCAGTGTAATTCCCCATGTGTGACCTTCTCTCCTAGGGATGCAATCATCACTCTTGACTTCAAAACTTGGCTGCCATGGAAACACAATCAGCTCTTACCCCGGGAAAGGTTAGTCTGTCAAAGCTGGAGCTTCAGGCTTGGGAAAACTAGAAAGCTGATGTTAAATCTGCCTTCACCAGTGCACAGATTCCCTCTCCTTCACTACTCAACTGAAGAGAATTTGATTTCTTTTCTTTCTTCTATCTGGTCTTTTAAATAACACATTTGATAAAATTAGAAATTAAAAATGTTAACTTGATTTTTATTCTATTGGGGAGTCTATTGCTGAGGGAACTGTTCATTTGGCTCAGAAGCTTTGACCTGTGTGCTTGGGAGGTCAGGAGAGACTAAGAGTCATTGCCTCTGGAGAGTCATCATCAGTGACTAGTATATGAAAAAAGAAGTGACTTTACCACAGGGCCCATTAATCAGGTTTCCTTATCATGCCAAATCTGCAGACCGTTCTCACATTTGGTAAACTCAGCAAAGACATGTTAATGACAAGCTCGGGTCTGATGAGCTAGTCCCTTACTCAAAGAGGGGTGTAGTATGGGCTGGGCTAGAAGGCAAGGAGACAGGGCAGAGTTTCATTGCTTCTGTGGCTCCTCTTGGCCAGTCTCTGGAGGTACACAGGAGGTGCCAGCCATGAGCACCAACACAGCTCCTCTCACAGCTGCGTGTCATGATTATTATATGGGAATGGTACAGGGAAGATGCTGCTGGCATTGGGAAAGAAACCATTAGATGTCCTGAGACAGAGAGTGGATCAAAGGGACCCTCACCTCCTTTTATGCATTACACATGTAAATTTTGTACTTTTTGCTGTTTAGCCTTGTAAGTACTGTTAAATTTTCCTGCTGTGAGTCAGGACCAGCGCAATCCAACCACAAAAGGAAACTCTCCATCTCCAGAGCAGAGCAGTTGCTTACCTGGAGGGCAGGACGGCAGGAAGATGAGGACAAGGATGCACACCTGCATGTGGGTCCCTGACTCCCTTTGCCATTTTTCATCTAACTAAAACCAAAACATCTACTCCCCTGTGCCTTTGCTTGTGCTGGGCTGAACCTGCTTTCCCCAGAGCAATTATCCTCCTGTATGAGTAAAGGAAGCAAAACTCTGAATGGATGGATGGATGGATGGATGAATGAATGAAGTTTTCCCCATGCCTGCTCTCCTGAAACACGGGCTCCAGTCCTGTTAAGGGATGGTGGCATGAAGCCACATCCAAGATTCACACTTCCCCACCCATGAGTCCTAGCTGTCAGAGCAAGGAGAGGCAGGTGGACCAGGCTGTTACCCTGCTGGTGAGGGAGACTGAGACAGGAGGAATTGGTAAGTGGTCATATTGTGCATCTGACGTAGAGTGACACTAATTCAATTTCTGTAGGGTGACACAAGTTCAAGTGGGGTGTCTTTAACATGACCTGTACAGCTTTGGGTGGGGTGTGAGGAGGAAGGCAGATGTGTGGTCTTCTGATGCTTCACGTGACAGGGAGCAGGAAATGCCAGGAGGGCTTGGATGTCATTTATGCTGGATGCACTTGGCTCCAGGCAACACAAGATCTCCCACCTCATCTTCCTCCAGCTTACCCTGTCAAGGAATGAGGGGGCATGGGCGCAAAGCTTGTAGGCCATTTCTTTTTGCAGACACCTTCCTGAGCAGAAGAGGAATGGTTCAGAGAGTGGGCTTTTTGCAGAAGGCAACACTGAGATACAGAGCACTTGTGTCCCCCTCTGTAAGCTTATCCTGCTGGGGAGCTCGTCTGTGTCTGGGGCACCAGCACCATGTGGAATAAAGGAATTGTAAACAGCCAAATTCTTAATCCTCCATCTTCAAATGTGTTAGCGTTACTTCATTTACTATCTTGCAGTTCTGCAAATGCCACTGAGTACTGGTGCCATTTCAGATATATTTCACATTTTATTTTGGAAAATTGCTGTGCTACTGATGAAAGGAAGCTGTCAGTCAGCTTCAGGAAGGCAGAAGGTCCAAACCAACCAAGAGCCTGTGTATGGAGCAAGGGTAGGGAGAAACTGCAGGCTGGAACAACAGTGGCATAGAAAGGTCTATAAGAATCTTTGTGAGGAAAGACCAAATGACATACAGGGTTATGACACCTTCTTAGTAGCGAAGATCCTCAGAAAGACTCAAAGTTAAAAGCCAATCTACCTGAAATAAGCTGCAGTGTTTTAAAAGCGCATCATTTCTTTAAGACAAAGTAATTGTCTTTTGGTCAGAAAAGGGTGTATATAAAGAAACAGTCAGAATGATCATAGGATTCAGAGCAATAAAAATGCATTGCTTGTGACATTAATTCTCCTCTGACTCCGCTATGAAGAATGCATGTTTTATATGATCTGCCATGGTGGCTGATGTGTTGTTTTACAAAGTGCATGTTAGACATACATAAGTACATGCTTTCTCCTGCATTGGATTTTTAAGGTCTAAATAAATTTGCTGCAGCTTAGTGTACGTGGTCTTGACAATGACTGATTTAGACCTTGCTAAAACACTAAGTTTTGAAAACTGAAGGCTGGATAACAGGATAATTTATGTTCATTGTGAAGAAGAAATATTTATGTATATAATTTAGTCCCCTCTTTCCTATAAACCTTCTTGTCTTCACCAGTAGCCAAATGCCTTATATGATTTCCCACAGCTTGTCAGCAGGACACAATACTAGGCAGTTTATTTGATTTCAGCATGTCAGTGTCAAGGGTCAGCGGGAGGTGGATGAGTGCACTTTTTGGAAATTGTAACTTGCTCTCTAATATTGCGGACTTATTGATTGCTTAGCAAAGTAATAATCCCTGTGTGTGCCTGGCTCTGAATGTAGCAGTCCAGGCCTTTCTCTAGGTTCTCTGTTTAAATGGTAAACATTTGAAGCCAGGTACAGCACACATTTAAATGGCACCAAGCAGTATTAGGAGGGGAGGGGTTTCTGATGTTGCTTGGCTTCTTTAAGTCCCATATTGCTGCTGCTGTTACTATTGATAAGTATTATAAGATATTAATGAGCAGTACCAAAGAAAGTGTTGCAAACAGACAGTATGATTTTCAAGCCTGGAATGCTGTTTTTTTCATCTGTAGCTGGGGTAGTTTTCTGATGTGGGGGATGGAGAAAGAGTTTGTAAGGAGGGTTGGATTATTTTATTGGACGAACAGATATTGATCTGGTGTATTTGAAATCTAGTCTGTATTATTCCATTGTTATAAATTCCTCTAATGAAATATATTCCTCTTCTCCTTGCTAAAAAAATTATGCCTGCTTAAATCAGTAATGTTCCGAGACACTAACATGCTATTTAGATAAAATCCACCATATGTTGTAAATTCCTTGCATGATCACCAATGGGTTCAGCATCCCATTACTGTGTGTTGTCTGCTCCTGCTCCACATCACCTCCCACACAGTTAGCAGGGAAGGTAAACAGTAAGTCACAAATCATCTAATGAGCCAGCATCCCTGCAGTAGTGGTGGAGGGGAGATGATGAATTTATCTGGAGGTGACCCTTTTGCTGGGGAGGTGCTGTGAATGGAGTGACATGGGGCTGGAGATGATGCTGGACATAAGGTGTGGGCAGAGTGGCCTGGCAGGAGGAGCAGCTGCAGATTAGGAGCAAGGGGAGGTATAGGCAGATACTGCCTCCCAACTCTTTCACTTCTAGCCAGAAAAGGTGGTTTGGGTCAGTGGTCTCCTGCATTGCTGTCTGCCCCCTTATCCATCTGGAGACTTGACTTCTCCTTCCCCAGCCCCGCTCATATTCCAGCCTCATTCCTGGCAGCACTTCCACCAGCTCACTGGCAGCCATCCCCGCAGTACTGTGTGCAGCGTTTCCCCTCTCCCTCCCCAGTCTGAGCACTCTTGGGTGGGCATGTGGCACAGAGAATAGTCCTAGTGCCTGCAGAAGGAGAGCTTGAGGATGGCTGTTTGGAGCTGCAGAAGCTCAGTCAGCCCCACACCTTCATCCTGTTGGGGAAAATGCTCCTTGTGTCGTTAGCACATGACCTAGGAGCACCTGTCTCTATTCCTGTAATACCGATCCCCCTTCTCCTGTTGCACTTCCCTTCCTCCTTTATCCTTGCTGGTAGTATTTTTTGTCTCTTGTCACTCAGTTTTGCTCGATGGCTTCACATTCTTCGTCATCTACTCAGGGTGTGGTCCCAGCTGGGCTGGTGTAGACCAGTAGTCTCAAGACTTGCTTCAGGCTCTGAGTGCTACTGTGGCTGAAAGGCGGGCATAAGTCCACTGCTTTACATGGAGTGTATTTACTTTGGGTTCACCAAAGAAGCGTAGGCAAGCACAAAAGTACAACCTGTGGGACCCAGTTGCCCAAAAGGCACCGCAGCATCTGTCTTGTCCTGCCCTTCATATTTTTTCTACAGTCAGCACCTTTGTTGTGCGGCCAGCATAGCCATGTCAGCTTGGACACTTTGCAGGTGTGCACTGGAAACTGTGGCCACTGCACACAAATATTTGCCAAGCTGACTTAAAGAGAAATTTGTTGCAACATGGATAATCAAACAATGACAGCTTCCTGCTTTGGGAACATAAAAGGAATGCCACTACATTCCTTATAGTGGATTAAGCCATAAGGCATAAAAGCTATATTGGCAAATAAAGACATGAAATTCAACCATTTAACTTAAAAACAGACAACAAAGAGACATTTGTATTTCCATAGCAACCTTACCATGTAGAAAATCTTCATGTTGGGGCTTTTAAAGGTACCTTAAATTCACAATTATGGCAATACATACTTATACAGCTAAGATTTGCTGAAACAAAGTCAATCACTTGTCGGCATGAAGTCCTTTTAATGTATACAAACTAGTAGACTTATGAAAATCAGCTTTTCTTAATTTTTTACTCCATTTTAAACTGCTCTGTTTGCTAATATTGCAATCATTTTTATATATATCTCCATAAGAGGACCAATATATAGTATAAACAATAAATATACACATACATCTCTCAATGCTAAGCATAAGAGCAATCAGATGCTGTTGTTATTCTGTTGACAAATTTTATTTTTAAAAATCACTGTAGCAATAAGCTGAAATGTCCATATCTAAAACTAATGGAAGAAATTCCTTCATGTGTAACCAAAATAAATCTCTATGAGACCTGGTCTTTTCCAAAAATTCTTGTTATTCATTCTGTCAAGTAATCTTAGTACATTTGCATGGGAGGCATGGGAGGACCAGCAGATTTTGAAATTAGTAGCAGGTGACTTACCTTTGTGCTGATCAAACACTGATGAGGAACTAAAATCCATTGTGGTCTATCTCACTATTTATAGCCAGACCAGACAAATGCCATCTCCAGGGTTTTCAGGGAAGAATCCCATATATTACAGTAAACAATGCAATGATAGCTGTCGCCAATCTTCTTGTCAGAGAATTAAACTCGCTTTACGGCTGCAGGTTGTTGTCAAGGCAAGGACATTATTACTAGCCCGATGGGAACGGTATATTCTGTTTGTTATGGACCCTCTTAAAGTGACATCCCTGGAAGCTTAACTGAGCTTCTGAAAAACGTGTTAGCTTCAGCAAGTGAAACTGCCTACGAGCAGCTCTGAGAGATGCTGCAGCTCATCCAGCCTCAGCAGCCGAGCACTGCCGGTAGACAAATAAGCCTGGGAGGGTGAGTGGGACTTGGCTGGCAGACGGAGCATGTGCAGAACTACCAGTGTAGGTTGGGTGCAGACATCCTCGCTGCACCGGCCGAGTGGCATGTGCTGCACTCACGGACAGCCCAGCCGGCAGGCTGTCTGTACCACTGTGCTGTCAGCATGTGTCTGAGCATGGCTTGTGAAATGTTTTCAGAGATTACCTGTTTCCTGATTTAACTCCTGCATGGGGAACACAAATTAGCAAGCCCTTTCTACCTTAGTTTAGTACAACCCAATTAGAGTTACTTAAAGTACAATGTTTAATGGAGGGATAATAACTGAGAGCATATTACCACGGCTGAAGTGGATAGTGATAGCTCCAACAGCATAGTGCAACAGGTATAATAGTTCCCAGCGGATGCTCCAAACCCAGTGTCTGCCAAACCAATAGTAGACCCACGCCTTCATGCTATTTTTTTACCTGGGCCTCTGCCTCCCTAAGTTGCAAACTCAGACTCTGTAATGTAAAGGGGTAGGGGAGGACCCTGGTGAGCTTTGCTTTTTGCTGGGTTGTTTCATGGAAGAAATAACAATAAATGGGCTGACTTGGAATTCACCCAGAGTGGTAGATCACCAGCAGTGCCTAGGGGCTGGTGGATGGGAGGCATATAAAAAGTTTACTTAGCACTGGTGTACTGGAGGAGACACCTAACTACTGCTGAATAAGGCAATGAAAATTATATGAAATTAGGAAAGGCAAGACACTTTTAGCCCCAAAGTGCAGACAGGACTTACACTAAAGCTATGCCTAGGTTTGGTCAGCCTAAGAAGGCCCTAGACTTCATTCACTGTATTTATTCTACTCTGGTGTTTTGACCAATTCCCATGACTACAATGGATACTAGAGACATAACGTACATGTGTACACTGTAGGAGTTGTATCTGGAGCTGATTCACATCCCAAGCATCTGCTAATGAACCTAAATCCAATCTGTGTGTTTGGAAAAAAGATAGTATGGCCGAGGAAGCAATACAGCCTCAACAGCTTGAAACGAAAGACCAGAGATGAAATTCTCCAAAATGTGGCCATGTGATCTCCTCAAGGGTCCTTAACTGTGGAGCAGCATGTGGTGGGACTGTGGAGCCAGAGATTGGCTCTGTTTCTTTTCTGTACTGCTGACCGGGTTGTGCTTTGGCTCATCTCAGGCCTTTTTTATATCAAAGAGGGATCCACCGTGCAAGTGCTCTCTATGCAGTCTGGGAGCAGAGTATTAGTAATGCAGACGGACAGCTCCCAGCTGGCATGTCCTTGCCAGGAGAGTGGCTCAGGGGGTGGCATCAGCAGGTGACAGTCCAGTCTGCCCAGTCTAACACCCTGGCTCTGCTCAAAGAGCTGCCATGGCTGCTGACTTCACAGAGGAGGCACTGGAGCTGGATATGTGACTGTGGTCGGGCATTTTGAACTGCAAATCATCAGCCCTGGTGATCTTTTAAAGACCCCAAAAGTGGCCTTTGCTTCCTGCATGTGACAAGAAGCCCTTTGTCCTCTATGTACACAGGATTTCTGACCCTGGGCACTGCAGCAGTGCAAGTTATGCAGTTAGCTGGCCACTCTACCATCCCCTACATAATCCAATCAATTAAATACTCACAGTTTTACCTGCCCATTTACCATTACTGGGTCTCTGTCCTTCCATTCTGCTCTTGAGATAGAGGCAATGGGCTTTGGAGATTACTGGTCCAGTCTCACTCTTGCAGTGCATTAGTCTGGGAATGAGGTGCATTGCAGGTATGCAGCCAGGGAATTTGGGGGAGAAACACCTGGCAGCTGATTCTTTGTGGGTCCCATGTGGGGCACAATATTCCCTATGGCACTGCGTACATATACCAGGGGCTCAGCTTGCCTTCAGCTATGGGAAAGCCAGGCACCTCCTCAGAGATAAGTGTCCACAGCCCACAGGGACAGAGTGTGTTTGAAAACCAGCAATTCCTGCCATCATCAGAAGAGAAGCAAGGCCAATGCTTCAGCAAAATACCTTTCCTCATGTAGACATGAACACCAGGTGAACACAGTTCTGTGTCTCAGCTATGGTAGATAGCCAGAAAAGCTGAGATTTATGAGTTGGGCTTGAGTCGCTGACTTCTTCGTAAGTATCTTTTTATTGCTTTTTTAGAAGATTTGAAGGAAATGTCTCCAAATTCCTCAGGGCCTTCTATGCTCAGTGGCTATGAAAGCAAGCCTGGCTAAGAACAGCAAAGCCACAAAAGAGGTAGAGCCTGGTCTAGGCAGCAGATAGAGATGATAGATTTAATATTGTTAATTTACATTATTCTTTAATTTAAGCAAGGTGTTCCTCACTTTTTATGCTGTCAGTGGTGGTTGGGTTTTGGGAGTGGGTTTTTTTATGTGGAAGAAAGCCCCTGTTAGAGAAAAGTGATGAAAACAGAGTAGCAGAAACATAGAGCTTTTTTTGTGTGTTTTTTTGCCACGTTTGCCAGTGCATCAGCATTTGGCTGTATGCAGGGTAGTTAACTTTCCTTCTCCTTCTAACTGTTGTTCATTAGCTGAATGCAAAAGCTGTGGTGAGACCACAGAGAATGGTCAAAACATATATTCAAATGCTATGTAAATGTTACTTACTGGGGTGCGGAGCAGGGCTGAAGACTGGCACAGCAGAGACTGAGAAATCATCAGGTGTTTACAGCTGACAGCACCTGCTCTGTGCCACATTGCCATCATGAGCGTAGACACGGCTTACATATCTGCTCTTCTGCTGCCCCTGCAGAGGACATTGGCAAGTGGGCAAGGGTTCTGCGTCCATTTTCACCCTGACACAGTTGGTGCTGTGGAGGAAGGATGAGCTGCCTTTGCAATACTCTCGGAGCCGCAGTGCCCCCACCTGCTAAGGAGCACTGCCAGCAGCCAGCACCACAAAGACAGCAGCTCCAGGGGTGAAGTGTGGCCTGCTTTCTTCAAGGGTATACAGCAAGCCTGAATGTTTACGCCCTCAGTATTGCTTGGTAAGCATGTAATCTAGTGAATGGAAGTCGAAATGAACAAAGGGACACCGTCAACCTTCACTTTCCATTCCTAATGAAATCCAGTAATAATAATTTGATGATAAAGTATTTCCAGTACCATGCTATATATAAACTAACTCCTGGTTGGATTTGGAGCTCCACCCTCAATGTTGGAGGTGTTAGCACCAAGCTCAGACATGTGTGGAGAAGTCAGACCCCTAGCCAGGCAGAAGGATTCAGCTGTGCTCTCTGGTGGGGACTGATCCAGGGTCCACCCAAAATGAGCAAAATCTCCGTTAAAATGTCAGCAGATAAACGGTGACTAGAGAAAGGAGAATAGGGTCACAGCTACATCTTAGAGGTTCCCATGTGAAATGTCAGACAGAGTGAGGACCTGTTCTGCTCCGCTCCCTGCTCTATAAGGCCGAATACATCCTCTAAGTCAATGTGACTTTTTGCCCTTGACTTCAATGGGATCAGGGCATCTCCCATGGGATGATTTATTGGGATATCACTAGCATCCTGTGAGACAAATTTAGTAACAAGCCAATCACGCCTGAGAGTCCATTCTGTAATTAGAGTAGGGCTCTTAAACAGTAACTGGTTTTATGGGTATTGTTTTCCCAAATGATAATCTGTTTGTAATTAGCTAAACCAAACTTAAAATCTTTCTCACACTGATTGTTGTGCCCCCTTCAGAAGGAGGAGGGAGTCTCCCACTGAGTTTATCACCCTTACTGTGCTGTAGCTTTCTCTTGTTACCCTCCAAACACTTCCTCATGATATTTTCAGGTCTAAAACTGTATTTGGTACCTCTGACATGGTGTAAGGCTGGTTTGAAGAGCCTAGCAGAGTGGGCAAGCCAGATGTGCATGTGGAGGAGCAGATGGGCTGGGTGGGGAGACCTGCTGAGTCAGGAGAGTCAAGGTGCAGGTGTGTCGGTCCTCGGTACACACCCCTCTCTGTGACACCAGGGGGCTGGAGCTGGGGCACATCACATTCATGGTCTTACACTGGTAAAGGGAAATTTATGTGTGAACACTTGCTTTTTAATTTTTTGTTATTCTGTTGCTGTTTGTTCTGCAAGATAGCATAAGGAAAAAAAAAGTGTTGCAGGTCAGATCAAAAGTTCACCTAGCCTGGTAACTACAGTGTCTGAATAGCACTCACCAGCAGCTGTCTGGTGAACTGCTGGACAAGTGTGTAGTGATATTTCCTCTGCAAACTCCCCTAGTCTCCAGCCTTTTTCAGATCATGGCCTACAGAGCAAAGTCTCTAAGGCAGTCCTGTGATTCTACAGAGTTCCAGTAGATGGTGGGGTGGGATCAGCACTTGGCTCTTTGAACCAGCAGAAGCAGCTCTTCAGTAGACACTTGCATTGTTTTTCTATTAAATCCTTTTAAGGGGGGAAGAAAAGTTCATTTGTGGGAAACCAGTAATCTCTGATGTTATGCAGTGCATTAAGAATGCCTGCAAATTAATGAAGTCCTATTCCAGATATCAAATAACAGTACAGAGCATGACTAATCATCTATGAATGGTAAGCTTTGAGAATCTTGCTGTAAACTTTTGTGATAGTAAATTTGCATTGGTAAAATATAGGAAAAGCGTAACATGTGTTACTACCTCTTTGACTCCCAAAT